AGTTCAAAATTTTTAGATTCCATTATTTTATTTATCTAATTATTTGATGTCCCTCTTCGCCCCTATTTGTCCCGCAGCATTCTCCTCCTACATATTTGCGATAACATTGTTTACGTAGGGCAATTGGGTCAGTACAGAATTAAACTAATTTAAAAANGTCGACACTGCCGCCATCCGGCGGCGTTCCCCCTACTGATTTATTTTCCCTTTCAATACGCAAACTGTTATTTTCCTTAATTAATGGAGATTAATGTCATTAAAGCTACTAAAATTCCTTAATAATTCATAGATTTACATCCATAATCGTTTCAGGTATCACTTACCCTTTTTTACACCAAAACAAGTAGCCACCTAACAGCCACCTAACTTAAGTGGCTGCTTGCAACCCAGGGAGACAAGGGACCGTGTAAAGAAATCTACACTAAACGAGCACAGTTCTTGCTCCCACTCTTTCCTCCAAAGGCCAACGAAGAAGTTCTGAGCTCGGAGTTTGTGAAGACAATTATTGCTCATGGAAGTCCAATCTCGTGTTGGTCCAGGTTGATGCGTGATGACCCTAGTGTAATGAGAAGTACCCGCTGCCCCAACCCACAGTGTGAGGATACACAGAGGAAAATAAGTTCCTGGGCCCCTGCCATTCATTCAATTAAACGCTATGGATACAGTCGCCTACAGAACACATTGGAATATTACCCGAAGCTTTGGAACATCCAATGTCCATGTTTTCTTGGAGCTTGATCTGAGAGAATCATTTAAAGATTCTGCTCAGACTTGTCAACTTTATGACGTGCCTCTAGCATTGAAATTCAATCGTGAATACAGGTATGTGTCGTTTATCATTGACTCATTCAATATTGAAAATGATTGAGAATTGATTAAATAAAACTATTGATTGGAATAATAACCATTTTCAGATTGTTTGGAATAATTCATTATGATGCAAAGGGTGATCACTTCCTTGCCTATTGTCGTCGAAAGTCTGGAAGCTGGGAGATACATAACGGGCTTCTCAGTAAAGTCCAGCCATTGAGAGGAAACCCTAAAATACAACCCGATTGTGCTATTTATATTATGAATGAGTATGAAACGTAACGAACAGTATTCTCAAAATTTCGCGATGCTCTATCTCNTCGTTTATCATTGACTCATTCAACATTGAAAATGATTGAGAATTGATTAAATAAAACTATTGATTGGAATAATAATCATTTTCAGATTGGTTGGAATAATTCATTATGATGCAAAGGGTGATCACTTCCTTGCCTATTGTCGTCGAAAGTCTGGAAGCTGGGAGATACATAACGGGCTTCTCAGTAAAGTCCAGCCATTGAGAGGAAACCCTAAAATACAACCCGATTGTGCTATTTATATTATGAATGAGTATGAAACGTAACGAACAGTATTCTCGAAATTTCGCGGTGCTCTATCTTGCCAAAGTTTGTAATTTATCAAGAGTTTATGTGTAATAATAGAGTTATTACTAATGGTTATTTGTTGGAGGAAAAAATGCAGCAAGGATAAAACGTCCTTAGATTAATGATTCAAAGATGAAAATGTGTCATATTTTATCTCACTCATTGTTTCTTGTATGATTATTTGCTAATAAGTAACATTGAAAGGAGTTATT